CAATTAAAGGTTTGAGAAACCCTGATCTAGATAATAAAAACTGTAATGGTGGGAAAATATCACAGCACTTTCAGCTACTTATGATGTCACAATGAATTAGGAGTTAAAAATGACGTTCATTTATCTTCTTAGAAAATAGCTTTAGGGTGTTTTTCTTTTGGAGCAATTTCCTGTTGGGAAACTCAGCTGAGTTCTAAGGGCGCGAAAAGATCCATTGTGTAGATTTCTTTTCGAGACAAACTGTTTAAGATAAAAACAAAAGCCTTCTCATCTGAAGGACAGACACAGATAAAGAGCCAGCAAATAAGGCTTTTGTGTAAAGCTTTTAGTGGGGACAACCTTCACTGCTGCATGTTGTTTCTTTTGCAAACTTGACAGTTCAAATCTCCATGCATTGTTCCCCTGCACAAACACCATTAGCTGATATGCTAGTCTTACAAAATGTCGATTTCGTGGAACAGTATTAGCCCATACATTTTCCGATTATTGTCCGTCTAGTCCAGGTGGAACACAAGGAGTTGGCTACAATAAAAATAAAAATAAATAAATAGCTTCTGCAGTAGTTAGATTAGTTTGCGCAAACTCCTTGTCAGATTAAGCGTGAACATGTTGTCACTTCATCTGATTATGTAACGTTTATGTTGATACCAAATTACCAAACTGAATATGCAGACACACAAGACAAACAAAGATGAGAAAAAAAAATTAGTTAAATACTTTACAAAAGAGTTATTCGAAAACGCAGTTCGGAGCTCTTCTTAGACTAATTTAAACAAAAAATTCTGCTTTGAAGACATATTATATTTTAAGAAAGTCGTTAAATGTATAATATATACGATATTGTCTATTGTTAAATGTTTAATATAGACGATATTGTCTATTGTTAAATATTTGAAAATTACATTGCTTTTTCAGATCAAATTATTTTTGAAACATTGTCTTTCTTCAATTGTAAAGCATAGAGTTGAAACATTTTGCTGCAGGATTTAAAGAGAACCAAAACTTGTTTTTGTGTGTGTGTGAGAACAATCTACAATGTTGCCGACGATTTTTGCGCTGACATTCTTGTCATTAAAACAGCTGAGAGCAGAGACAGTAACGCAACAGCACTTCATAGAAAAACACGGATATCTTATTGAAGGAGGAAACGTGATAGAAATCATTCACAGGAAAGGTAGGTATGGTAAGTAGGCTAACTGTGTTTGCTGCCTGTACATACCATGTTGAGGAGCTGCTGGTTAGACGGTTAGAACCCTGGGCTCTCATGCGGGAGACCCGTGTTCGAATCCTCGATAAGGTTAAGTTTTCTTTTCTGTAGGGGACAAAATAAAATGCTCACCTGCACAGTCGTAGCGACAGCACTAGCCATGTTGCCTTAAATCCTCAGGCACACATGACCCCCCCCCCCCCCTTCCTCCCCGCCTACACCGCAGAAGTCGTATCTGAAGGCAGTAATTGGCAGTTTATTTACCATGTTTACGGCAGCTTAGAGCGGGGGCAAGGGTTATGAGCTTGAGGCTTTAAGGACGCATGGCTGGTACAGTCGCCAAGATCTCTGCAGGTTAGAACTGTTATAATCGTTCCAGATAGAAAACAAATCTCCATTCTTTTTTGAAGATAGAACCTAGGTCTCTGGCACTAAAGGCCAGCGTTCCAACTGTTTGACCAGTCGCTACTCTGTCAGTTATATTTAAGTTAAAAGCAGGAATTGGTGAGTTCGCTCCCTGGCGGAGCCGGACTTTTTTCAAAAATGACCTTGGCTCCCAGGTCGACCCAGCCTTGGGTGCGTACCGGGTGCAGTTCCGGGAAAGTGAAGGCGGCCGGCGTGATACTGACCACATCACTCATCTTGTGCCGATTGGTCTATAAAAATATAGGTCTAGCCCTATATGCCCTATACGCCTTAAGGCGTGGAAAAGGCTCCTTTACTTTACTTTACATTTTTTAAAAGCAGGAATTGATAATACGTTTGTATGTAATCCGGTCAGTAGAATTCCTAATCCGATATTGTAGAACCAACCCCAGCCCCTTTGTGTGTGGCTGCTGTGGTGCAAACTTTACGTCAAGTAGTTTGTTATTGCTTTCTGGACGGTCAGCTTTTCGATACCACAGTCGAAACCAACGCAAGGCACATGACCCGCAGCTGAGATCGAACCCGGCAACCCATCCTTATGAAGCGCGTTCGCAACGCCTAAGCCACAGACGCCGACTAGTCAGATATATATATATATATATAATGGGGTTAAATGGTTCTTGTCCAATGCAAGTTTAAGAATTTAAATACGTATGAAGTATATTCTCGGAGGACGGGAAAATAGATAGGGAAACAAGATGCCAAATAGCCACTGAACTTATATATACTTACGTCGTTATTAAGAAGTCCAAACATAAGTATGACCGCCAAGAAACAGATTATTAACAGCATATTCATACCAATACAGTGCTACCAGTGCCAGACATGGATGTTATCAAAGGCTAACCTACGTAAAACTAACACCTGTGAAATGAAATGCCCGAGGAGAGCCACAAACTTTACTATCTAAGACAAAGTTAGAAGTGATGTCATCAGACAGACTGTGGGGACAAGACATGTACCAAACTATTTCAGAAACAAAAGATCAGTTGGTTTGGTCATATCGTTAGAATGCAGCTGGAACAACTACCAACACACGTCCAAGTCCAAGTCCTTTTGAGAAAAAAAGAAAAGCTCGACCACGTTCAGACTGCTGCTAGCTAGCCTAGGCTGCTAACAGTCTCCGCCTATATTTGTGGAACAACACACAAGAAGGCCTGACGTAAAAGAAAGGCGGCCCTAGGATAATATGGGTGGATGACATTGTAGAGCTTCTAAACCGACGCGGAAAGACAATAGCTATGGCTACACATCAAGCAGTGGATCGTAAATTGTTCCTTCCCACGTCGCTTAAGGGCAAAAGTAGAAATAGATGATGATGACAAAGATGGCTGCGTAGTTTAGCCGTGTCTTTAAGCCAGTAAGCACCAAACAGCTTACCATACAATTATCTGTAACTTTGAGGAATTCCAGTTGACTGAGACAACTGTTATGTTATCAGTTTGTGCAATTTTTTTTTTCCAGACTGCGTAATTTGTTACATTAGCCTTCTCTAGCCTAGTTGTTTATTCTCACTGAACTGAGTTAAGTTGATTTAAGAACTGACAACACAGCACTGGGTCATTCCCATAGGCGCTCTGTCTCCATCTTCAGCAGCTACGAAAAGTTCCCATGCCGATGGCACCAGTAGTAATTTGGTTATATGTCCATCTTGCCTTTCCTCTTAGTGCGTCGGCCAGATTCCCTAGTCGTTCCCTGCCGAACCATTCTCTCCAGGTAGTAATGATCTACTTGCACTTATGTACAGTTCACATGCTCCCAAAGCACCTTGATGGCATCTAGCTTGTCAGACATCAGTTCACCACCAAGTGGTGCAGAACCAGCCAATCTGTCTGGCTGTTGGTTTCCAAATAAACGTGCATGATCCAAAGCAGGCTAACTACCGGGAAACCTAGCGATGCATGCCACTCTCCATGGAGCCTGTCTTTCTCCGTGACCAAGAAACAGTTACATTATTTATCTGAGAAATAACTATTATTCTTTATTTGAGTAATTGTTACATCCGACTTCTGCAACCGACTTCTTACTTCTACGACAATTGTTACTTTAACTATGTTTTACCACAGTCTCTTACTTCTGACTGACATCAATGTTACGTTAACATCTCTGAAAGAGTTTTTTTTTTCTGACTGAGACAATTGTCACCTTAGCTATTTCTGACTGAATTGTAACCTATAGCTTACTCTATTGTTTCATTAGATTCACACCCTTTTTCCTTACCGAGTTGTTATTTCCGAGAAACTGTTGTCTAGAACATGTTTACATGAAGAGATAACATAAAAATCATCACATTCATCATCATCATTGAAAATCATTCCATCTTCCCAAAAATAAGGTTATTGTCTTCTGCCAAAAGTGTATATCTGTAACATCACCATTACTTATTTCTTTGCGGTTTTGCTGTTATGTCCACTTGTACCAATTTTTTCACAGACTGCAACTATTTATTATTTACATGAACAATAGGGCCTATATTTTCTTTACATCTTTACATATTTAACTGAACACTAATAGAGGTTTGGTAGTTAACTAGGCCTTGTAATAATTATTCATTTTATTTATCAGTTATAAGCATCCATTGTTTTTAAAATAATTAACTAAGCACCACGAATATCTGCCCTAACCTTCTTCTTTGTGAGAGGTTATGCGGGTGTTTAAGGAAACGAGCATGCAGACTATCTTGCTGACACTACAGCTGTTACAAGCATCCATTGTTTTAAAACTAATTAACTAAGCACTTCACGAATATCTGCCCTAACCTTCATCTTTGTGAGAGGTTATGCGGGTGTTTAAGGAAACGAGCATGCAGACTATCTTGCTGACACTGAGGTTGCTATGGCTGGCCCAGTACTAGACAGAAGTGATGTTATCATTGCAATGCCCTGTACCTACCGTACCGAGGAGCAGGCCAAAGGATATGACTCCATATCCCTGTATAGACTGATGGAGATGGGGAGTGCTGCCTGGATTTGCAAGAAATTTCACTAAAAAGACAAGACGTTTCATTAACCAACACAGAACAAGCGTCAATAGTCGTTTTACACTTATTGAGCTTTTGAGGAGGAGATCGGAGCACCCATGGACCTGTGGGGAGTGCTGTGATGATAATCCATCCTAATCACTAATCACGAAATTACTAGAAAAGAGATTACATGTAGAAATGAAGAACAAACTTCTATACATTGCAGGGTGGGGGAGGGGGCGGTTACATTATAGCACCCCCGCCCCGTGTAATTTTTGTTTTGCCTGAGGGATAGGCCTACTGAGCTTTCAGATTCCCCTGCCAAATGCTACTATTGTACAATTGTTTCCGAAATATATTGTTGCATTGTAGATCCTAGCCATAACTCAATTATCTTTTCCAGACATGACTAGCCTCAAGTGTGCAAGCAGATGCTACACCATGTGTGGAATTGCCGTGTACAGTCGTGTCAACAACACATGTGTAACGTTCCGAAATCGAATTCACCAATCAGGTTTCACAGTGAGCAGGAAAGCTGGATGTGTTGTTATCTATAAGAACGACGCAGGTTTGTGAATACATGGTTAAACCCTTGCAGCTTGTTTAATAGGTCCTCTTTATACAATAACCCTGAGACAACCGTTTCCATCCACGATATAGAGAGAACGTACACGATAGAACGGAACTGAGGACTCGACTGCGATCTCGTATGGGCTATAAAGGCACTATAGTGATAGAATTTACCGAAAGCCGATTAGTCTATAAAACAAAAGAATAGGAGCCAGAGCTTTGTTAAACAATTGGAACTCGGTGGGTGGTGTGGTCAACATCACACCGGCCGCCTTTACTTCCCATAATTGTACCTGGTACCCATGGTGCCTAGACATATATTATATAGATCAATCGGCACTAGGTGGGTGATGTAATCAACATTACACCGGCATCATTTACTTCCCATAACTTTACCTAGCACCCGTATAAGGCTGTGACGACCTAGGAGGTAAAGGTCTTTTTTTTTTTTTTTTAAAGACCAGCTCTGTTAGGATTGAACTCACACCCTTGGATCCGCAGGCGAACGTCTAGCCGCTACACCCTGGCGGCTTTTGTGTAGCAGCAGTGCTGAAAAAAATTATGCATTGAAAACAGTGCCGGCACTGCGTACCACTAGAAAAAAGAATCCCTGGGTCTAACATCATATGCCCGATACGCTATTGTCGCTAAAAGATCCTTTACTCCCCATCCACGTTTTCCTTTATCCACGGCAGCGCTGTTAGAGTCGTTTCCAAATGTCGTGCCCAGCTTACAAATCTCTAACTCAGTAACCGTCAGGTGGAAATTTGTAAATTTGCTATTCAATTTGTTAGTAAAGGGAGTCGCCGTGGCGTAGCGGCTAGACGCTCGCGTGCGGATCGGAGTGTCGTGGGTTCGCTCCCCTGTGGAACCGGACTTTTTAAATTAAAAATGACCTTGACTCTTAGGTCAACTCAGACTTGAGTCGATACCAGGTGCAGTCTCGGGAAGTAAAGGCGGCCGGCGTGATGCTGGCCACTTCACCCCTCTTGTGCCGGTTGGTCTATAAAAAATATAGGTCTAGCCCTAAATACCCTATACGCCTAAAGGCCCGGAAAAGGGACCTTTACTTCACTAATCTGTTAGTAATAATGTCCTTCTGGTTTTTTGTACTGTTTCATTTTGTCGTTTTTGTGGTACATTAAAAATACACCAATTCAAAGCAAACAGTCAGCATGCTTGCAGTTTTAAATAAACAGAACAATACAAACCATCAAATTGCACGTGTTTCACTATAAGGTAGTCATCTCCAACATTAGCCTCCCGTGTGTTATATGAACCTAATGTTTTTCATTGTATGCGTGGTAGGCTATAAAAAAAAACTAAACACACGGGAGGCTTATGATGGCGATGACCACCTTCTCATAAATGAGAAGGACAAGAAAGTAATGAGATAACATGTAAAATTTGCATTGATCCGTTTAGGTGTTTTCGAGATATTTGTTAAAGTGTCAGGGAACGATTTTTGAAACACAATATACCAGTGTCATATATTTATGCTATCGTTCAACAACCCATAAACACACTTGTGAGCCATTTTCTCGAAAACTTCTGTTAGATCGCAACGACGTTTTTCTTGCAGCCTTAGAATATCCATGCTGAATACCAATTCCTGTGATTTTTTTCGAACTATTGTAAAAAAGTAAACTTTCATATTTGACAGTAAAAATCTTAATTTCCAGTTTTATTTCTTTTCAGAGGCGTGTTTTCGTAATACATTGATAGCTGAAGTAAATGTATGTGTTGTCATTTATGTTCAAATGAGTCAAAAAAAGACATCACAGCACTCCGGGCATTCCCATATACTCTCCATCCCCATCTTCAGCAGCCAGAGTTCCAATGCTAGTGGAACCGCACGCAGTCTGATTATATGTCCATCTTGCCATTCCTCTGAGTGTAGTATGCCGGCCAGGCCCTCTGGACACATCTATATTTATCCTTGTCCCCAGGCCATGATAATTTATTGTCTCTTCTGACTTCATTATTGTTCCTAAATGGTCTTGACCACATCTGCCGTTCATGTATCAGTTCATCACCCAGTGGTGCAGATCCAGCCAATCTAACTGCTTTGTTCAATTGTAAACATGTCCACAATATGCAACAGTTAGTATTCCCCTTCAGTCACCATTAGACCCTACTGTGTATCTTGACTGGTTAACACATTGAAAAATGGTTTTAATCATACCGAATTAGACGATCCCAAAAGGTCAATAATCCTTACTGGCTGCACAAATTGTAATCCATCTCGGTATCAGTTCTGTTTCCGCTCGGAGCACATGTTCAACACACTTTTTCCATTAATTAATGTTTTTTTAGAGAGACTCACGTGTCAGAACTTCAACATCACACATTTTAATGTACTGTTCTTTTAGGCAACTTGTATTTTGATTTTAGCCTAAACAGGCTCTATCGAGTCGAGGTGTGGATGATATGAAGGGAGTCGCTAAGAATTGTGTCCGTATTCACTAATGATTTTGTCAGTGTGATACAACTTTGTCCTATTTGTTCTTCCCACAAGCTGCAACAACTCGGCCTTCAAATATGTGTCGTCAAAGTTGAAGTTTTCCTTAGCAAGCCATGTGCTAATGTGATCTTTTGTATTTGATGTCGTTGGTACTTTGTCTTCCTCTGATACGGCATTATGATAGGCGGCATTGTCCACTACTTGGCACGATGGTCTGTCCAGAATTGGAAGAAAAGGATTCTACATTAAGTGCCTGAAAATGTGTCCATTCCTTTCAGTGGGGTAGTCCCTACCATCCGTACATTTTGATAGGAACATAAGTCCAGCATCACAGATCAAGCCCTTTTCACTGCTTTTTGCATAAGTGAGTATAATGCCAATATTGAGGAAGAATGGAGTATATATAAAAACACTATGCTTAGTATTGCAGAAGAATTATGTGGAAAACGGAAGAGTGGAAACAGACGGGGAAATAACAAATATTCACCTTGGTGGTGCGAAGAAGTAAAAGAAGCAATTAAAAAGAAAAAATACTTATATAAACAGTGGATAAAATCAAAGAAATAAGAAGATTATATAAACTATAGACTGCAAAGGAGAGAAACCAACAGGAGTGTCAAGAAAGCAAAACAAGCATCCTGGGAACTTTTCGGTGAGTCACTAGCAGAAAATGAGAAAACAGCCAGCAGAAAAATTTTCAAAGTAGTTAAAAATATGCGGAAAAGAGATGAGAGCTACAACCCCACTGAAATAATTAATGATAAGACAGGAAGGCCATTGATAGATCCACCCGAGATAGCAGAAAGATGGAGGGAATACTTCAATGAGCTTTTTAATCCTCTAGAAGATCATCAGGAAAGAACAACTGACGAGCACAGAGCAACAGTGTTAGAACCACACATACTAATGGATGAAATAGAAAAAGTCATTAAACAGTCTCCCAAATATAAAGCACCAAGAGCTGATAGATTACCAACAGAAATAATTTAAGCAGCAGGTGAAAGCAGCATCAGATGGCTTCACAGAATATTCAATGCAGCACGGGTCAACAAACGGCCCCTATTGATTGGCAACATGCAATAGTTATACCATTGTGGAAGAACAAAGGAAGCAAACAAGAATGCGGTCAATATCGAGGCATCTCTCTTTTAAGCCATGTTGGCAAAATGTGTGCCAAGATAATAGAAACAAGACTGAGACCAGTGATAGAACCACAGCTGGCAGAAGAACAGATGGGATTTAGGAGAAATAGAAGCTGCACAGATGCAATCTTCACATTTAAACAGGTAATAGAAAAGAACATTGAATACAATAAGAACTTATTTGTGGCATTCGTAGACCAGGAGAAGGCATTTGACAGAGTCGACAGACAATTACTATGGAAAATAATGGCAAGACATGGAGTAAGCGAACACCTCATCGAAGTGTGCAAAAGTTTATACAGGGATTGTAGAAGTGTAGTTAGAATAAATCAGGGAACATCTCATCCTTTCACAGTGACATCTGGAGTAAGACAGGGGTGTATCTTATCACCACTGCTGTTTATCACCTACATCGACAGTATATGCAAGAATGCCAAGCCCATGAATGAAGATCTTAGTAAGATCAACGAATTACTCTTTGCAAATGACCAGGCCTTGATAGCAGATACAGCCATGAAATTGCAACAACATCTAACATCCATGAATGAATAATGTAAAACAAATAATATGAGAATCAACACTGAAAAGACAGAAGTAATGTCAATAGGAAAAAAGAAGACAGATCTAAACATAGCAATAGAATACAAAGACATTAAACAGGCATCTGAGTTAAAATATCTGGGAACTACATTTACCGAAGATGGGAAATTGGATAAAGAAATTGACATTAGATGCAGTAAAGCAAACCAAGTATTGGGACAGCTAGCCCCCCTCTTACAGCATAAGACAATCCCAATCAGCACAAAGAGACATCTTATTCAAAGCATACTTATTCCAACTCTGTGCTACCAGTGCCAGACATGGTCACTCAGAACAAACCATAAAAGAAAATTAGTAACCACGGAAATGAGATGTCTGAGAAGGGCTGTAGGAGTGACCATAAGAGATAAGATCAGGAATGAGATCATAAGAGAACAAGTCGGCACAGAACCAATTCTGGATTACATACAAAGACAGCAAGTGAAATGGTTTGCCCACTTAGAGAGAATGCCATGTGACACCATACCATACAAAGCATACATGGAAAGAGAAGAAGGACGTAGAGCACGGGGTAGACCAAGAACAAGATGGAAGGATAACATCAGAGAAACTCTACAACAGCACGATGTGCCTATGGTCGAGGCAGCCAGAAGAGCTAGAAACAGAACCTTATATCTCCCTCGACACCCACAGCGGTAAAAGAGGAAGTGAAGAAGAGGAAGAAGAGTATAATGCGCTGGCCTTAGCTGCTTGGAATAATTTTTTCTTTCTGTTCACCGTTTATGGACTGCTTTTCTTTAGCCTAGATGTGGTGGACATTAATCCAGGATTAATTCAAATATGCAACATCATAGCCTTGCCTCCATCGCTCACAGACCTGCCTCAGGCCTTTGCTTCGACTAGCAATCAAATGTGGCTTTTCACAAATAATATTTCTTCCACTTACAGTTTTCCTGAAAGTGAACCCTTTGGCTCTTGCAATTCTCCACTGACTTTTTTTAAAAATGCCAATACTGCATTGTGGTTGCGATGTTAATTTCGGTTTTCGGAGAGTAACAAGTCGATTTGTCTCTAACACATTTAAGATCTCAACTCTAATGACATCTACATCAAAGTCGTCAACTTTCCTTTTCCTTCCTTGCTTGAAATGAGTGTACTCTGTGTCCTGTCTAATCGAACGGTTAAATGATCCTCTATCCAGACCAAGCGCCAATAGTGTTCGTTTCTCTGGGTCATGAATATCACAATATCAATTACCCTTCTTAGATTCTCCGAGGAAGTGCTAGTGCAGTAAAACATTAATCTTCTGCATAATTATAAATTTGCATCCCAAATTAATTTTGAAATTAATGTTTATGTATAATGTCTTTATAAGCTAGCTATATAACTCAATATTAATTTGTGCATGCGACTTTGACTAAACAATCTTGACCGGTCTTATTCTGGCGTCAGGTCACTAATAGTGCGACTTTGCACAAGACAATCATGAAATTACGCAAATTCTTTATTAAACCAGTCATAGTGTTCCTTTACTTCCTAAAACTAATGGAAGTAAACCTTCCAAAAGTCTACCAAGACGGTTTCATGATAAAAAAATGTATATCATAAATAAGAAAAAACTTACATATGATATTCTTCTTGAATTGGAAAAAAAAAAAAAATTCTTTAACGTCATGGATATTTTAAAGCTGTATGCAAAATCACTGCGATCTAACAGGTAATATCTTGCATGTGTGTTTATGAGTTGTTGAACGAACTATAATAAAACAAAGGAGTAAAAAAGCCGAGTTCCGCTGTTTCTTGTCCCGTCCCTTTTAGAACGAAATTTTTCGTTATTTGAAACCCTACTCTTGCTCTTGCCAGGGGTAGCAGTATAGCCTGGCCATAAATATGGCCTAAAGACTGAACGCGGTTTCTGGGACCTCTCCATGGTGATCCTCACCCACATGGTGGCACATTGTGTCATCGGGTGTTTATCGCTTGTGTGATATCCTGGTGGGGTAGGAAAAAAAAGCCTAGTTGATAAGGTAAAGTTTTAGCGTGTCCCTTGTCATGCCATTGACGCATCTATCACTTGATGCTAGATTCAGATTTGTATAGACAAGTAGGCACTTGATGGATGAAGTTGTGAAAAACCACACTGGTCCCCATGAAAAGTTAGTTAAAATATCTCTTAACTTGACTTCGAAGACGTCATTTTCATGGGAATACAATGTTATAAATTACCTGTTTACTGTCAACAGCCTTCATGCAAGACTGGACATTAGTATTCAGAGCTCAGGCTGGGATTGGACACCCAGTGGTCGACTACTGGTCAAGTAAAGGGAAGCAAGACGATAATCCTCTCTCCGAGACATTTCCTGCCAGTTGTTTGAGATTCGACAAATCCAGTTCTTGTGACAGGCATTTTAGAAGTTACATTCTGGATAACTGGAAAAATATTGTTCAAGTAAGATTTTACCTTCTCCTACTTCGCCATCATATTGTTTGCTACATACGAGAGACACTCAGACAGCAATGTCCTTCTTAGTTAGTTAGTTAGTTGGGTTATCATCATTGCAATCCGGACATGTCCATAGGTGCTCAGATCCTCCCCTCAGTATGAACCCCAACGTCCGATGGCTAATAGTACCAGTTCTATGTTGATTAACAACTCTTCTTGCGTAGCTGGTGTGCGTCTCGTTTTTTGCTGTGCCGATCTTAATTCCCAAGTCTGCCATTCTGGCGAGTGATGTGGATTCACTGCCACCAAAGTCCTCTATCCTTCCCATTTCTCTGAGGGCATTGATAATATCAGCGTGATCCATAGGCTGACCGTCGGTAGTGATAGCGGATCCAGCCAACCTGTCAGCTCTTTCATTTCCATCGACGCCTGCGTGTCTCGGAACAAAAATAAAGGTGACTCCACGCACAGTGGACTTCTGTAATGATTTAAGCCATTGTCTTCGCACTGAACCTGCCTGAACCCTCCGGATCATACTCATTGAATCACTGAGTATACATACGCGGGTGTATTTTTCTGTTTCAAGCCAGGCAAACGCTTGCGTCACTGCCATCACCTCCATCGTCATGCTGCTGGTTGTCATGGAGAAGGCGCCGTTTGCTTCTTTGACTGTTCTGCCCGCAGAGCGTGCTGTAAATGCCCATGCGCTTCTTCTTTGGCGTATAACGGATCCGTCTGTATAGATTAGTGCATCTGCTTCGTCTGAATTTTCGCCGATGAGAGCGTTGACCTCTGCATTAACAGCAACAGGATTCTCTTCTCTACATCGCCTGTTGAGTGTGACAATACAGGAAAATGTACAAATAAACGCCTGAGGCACAGATATCCATTCTGCACCGGGTATGATGTCGGTTAGGCTGCATATTTGCCTGATAACATCTTCTGCCCGACCTAGCCACGATTGTCAGTCTGTCACTCTTTTCACTAAAAAGCGCTTGATGCAGTGGGTGTTTCTTATCAGCACATATTTTGAGGTATGCCCGAGCCCTCCACAACCTGATCCTTTGGTTCATTGTTGGAAAGTCAAGTAAATACCTCATTGCTCCACAGGATGTGTCTCTTGTACATCCCAAAATAATGCGCATGGCTTCATTTTGCACCTTTTTGAGTCGTTCAATCTGGGTAGCACTGACAGTGAGGATGGCCATAGCGTATTCAATGGGGGAAAGTACCAGACCGTAGAATAGAAGTATTAGTAGTCTTTGCTCGATATTGGACGCAGCCATAATCATAATTGCAGATAGACCTTTGCGTGCTTTTGTTATCACATGGTCAACGTGTTCCCTGAATGACAAGCTGCGATCGAACCTCACCCCGAGAAACGTCATAACGTTGGTTCTGATCAATACATTATCACGCATTTTCACTTCTGGTAAGTCTGACTTGACAATGTGATTGCTGAAAGAGAACCATGACACTGATGCCTTCGAAGGATTGACATAGGCATTGGAATCGTCACACCAGGCGGCAATTCGATCGAGTTCTTTGTGCATTGTGCTGGCGATCTCCTGTCTATCACACCCTCGTCGATAAATCAAAATGTCATCAGCAAATGACAAAGTCCTTCCCTTTCCATTCAACTGCTGCTCAGTGATCATCACCGTATAAACGTTGAATAAGACTGGTGATAGGGGTGATCCCTTGTGGCAAGCCTGAACATATCGTTTGCGGTTCTGAGGACCAGCTACCACATCTTAGTACAATATTTTTCTGGAGAAGAGCAACAACAAAGGTCATGTAATCAATGTACCTGCTTTTATATATGACCGTACAGGGCAAGATGCCATTAGCAAAATCAGACGGAGTAAAACAAGACCAGATCGCAGACGGCGGGAGAGATGGGCCTAGCCACCATGGTGGAATGAAGTAGTCAACATGGCGTGGTTAGAAAAAAGGAAAGCTGTCAAGGCATGGCAAAAGGCAAGGAAAATTGATCCGTCACTTTCCAAACGCCTGATCAGTCTGAAAGATAAGGTCAACAAGCAGACAGTGGCTTTCAAGTTAATTGCGAAGGAAGCCAAGACAGCGAGATGGAACGAATTCTGCAAGAGCGTTTGCTCCGAGGGATCTCTTGTGACATTCTGGCGCCTTCAACGGAGCATGCACGGCGCCGCACGACCAAGGGGTATCCCTGATTTTCAGAGTACAGACCTGATATGGCAGAGAACTGATGCTGATAAAGGAAAAACCCTTCTTGCGCGCTATTTGGAGCAAACTGACCAAAAAGACGAAGCTGCAAGAATAGGGGTTAAGATAAAACTGTCGATGCTGTGCGAGAACACTGTGCTAGGCACTGATTTCACAATCACTGCAGACACCTTAAGAACTTGCCTCAAGAAATCGCGCAGCACTGCTCCAGGCCCTGACGGCATCCGATACAACGACATGCTGATGATGTCGAATGCTGATTTGAAAAGCGTGGCAAAGGAATTCAATATCAGTATCCAAAGTGGCCAGATACAAGAGGAATGGCTCCATAGTTATTTGTTCCCACTACCAAAGCCTAATAAAGACCATTCAAAGATCTGCGGCTACAGAATCATCTCGATGCAGAATACTGTTGGCAAACTTTTGGAAAAAAATTGTCGCACGAAGATTGACCACCTACTTGGAACTACATGATAAGTTCCCGTCAACACTTGGAGGGTACAGGTTGAATAAAGAGACATGGTTCAATGCTGCAGTTTTTGCCTACGATGTGTATGAGGGATTTCAGATTAAAGAAGAGACATGTGCGGCAGTGTTGGACTCAGAAGATGCCTACAATAAAGTACCATATGATTATTTAATGCCAATTACTGCTTAAACTAGAAGTAAATCCTATTCTGATCCGCTGGATTGCTGTGGTCCTGTTCCAGCAATGTCCTTCTACGATTATTTAACTGACATTTACTTGACATTATAGTGGGATGTTTATAAATTACATAGAAATCTTCCACTTAAACTTAGAACTTCGGCTAGCTAGCACAAGGTCCGTAATCCTGGTTGATAACGGATGCGAGGAATGATAACAATGCAACGTACTATCCATGCAAGATAAAACCCAACTGTTTATTGATTAAAGATACACAATTTTAGAATCTTTATTTTCTTTTAGTCAGCGCCGTTTGACGTTGACAGTAATTTATACCCACAAACTTCTGTCTCGTGTACTTTGTATCAGTTCTGACACAAATGATCTTCCATGCTATGATGTCAAACCGTCCAGCATCTTCTCTCTTGATCTTCCTCTGCCTCCTTTAACCTTCCTACCATCATAAGGTGCTCAAGTTTTCTACTTTTCATGGCATGACGAAAGAATGTAGACTGTCTCCTCCTGATGTAATCAATCAGTTGTCTCTGTAAGTCAATAATTTTTTTCTGATTTTCTTTAAAATAAGTGTCTAAGGTTTCCAAAACTGTAATCATTTCTTAATTTTTGACTTTTTCAAATACTTTAGTGAGGTCAACAAAGCATAAATACAAATCACTGCTAATTTCAGTCATACTTTCTGTAAATGTTCTCAAGAAAAATATGGTGTTGTTTGTGCCTTTACCTTCAACAAAACCATAATGCTCTACTCCCAATTCTGGTTAATTTTGCAGGTAATTTTTCTCGTGATAATTCTCAAAAATATTTTAGTTATGCGACGCTTTAAACTAATTGTCCGGTATTCTCCACAATCCATTGCACCATTCGTGTTTTTGGTGAAGGCATGAAACGAGGTTTCGGAAGGTTATCATGTTTGTATCCACTGCTCTAAATATCAATTAACAGTTTTATCAACACCTCAATTCCAATTTACCAGCAGCTTTTAATTCTTCAATAGTGATGTTATCTGGCCCTGGAAATTTACATATTGTTCATGTGGTCTGTAGCATCTTTTATTTATATTTTGAATGTTGGTTTGGCGTCATTCACAATATTGATGACTCTCTTATTTTAATGGACGGGGTTAAACAAATATCTGCTTAATAAGGAAAGGGTTAACCTTCCCGTCTAGACACTGCAGCTCCATTTGAGGGAAAAAGAGCAGAGCCCGGTGCTTCCCCCCCCCCCCCCTTTTAACAAACATATGGCAAAAGGTGACTAATTAGGGGTCTTATGAAATATAAATTTGTGGGCTGTAAGGCGCCAAGCTGTAAACCATAACACAACCTGCCAACCAATCTGTCCCTAAGCCTATAAAATGAAACAGAAGCAATGCTTTCGTAATCATTGACCTGCCACCTACAGATGGGAATCATTTCATAGCTATGTCATGTGTGTTTACAGGTCCGCTATTCTCTGTACAGGGAAGGCAAAGAGGTAAGCTACATCGTCTTCAATGGAACAGGCAGCAACGGAACATCATGGTTCCAGCAAAGTAGAATCTTGTCAACATCGTGGACGAAGCTGAAAAACGAAGGACCCATTGAACATTTTACTCTACTTGTGTAAGTGTGTCATTTAGAACCTGTTTTTTTGCGTGTTTAGTTATTAGAAGATATGCACATTGATGACATCGAAAACTAACCAGACAGATATCACGCTACAGACAACAATAATTAAAGTAGTATTTTGGTTTACATATGTATGTAGGTAATAGTATTAAAAAAGGAACTTTAAAAAAAAAATGATACGTTATGGCAAGTCATCAGCAACCCCCAAATGCTGTAATAATACGCGGCATAGTTGTTATGATGCCACTGTAACGATACGTGGTATAGTTGTTATGATGATACTGTAACGATAACTAATTTCGACACGTTACCCAGTGGCGAATTTGGCCATCCTTACACAGAAAAACTGTACTTGAAATTTCTACACATTTTCTTGAGGTAAATTTCGACACAGCAACTGGTGTTACCACGGATGATGGTTGTATAGCGGCCTTGACCCAGTCCCCCACTTACGTCAACTCTGCAGCCCCGCTTTGAGCTTTGAAGTTTAACTGGTTCAACTGGCCGGGTTTTTGGTCACTACACTGACCATGTTTGTCGTTGCTTGTTCTGAACAAATAAATTTTGACTAACAACTGCTGTTACCTCAGACGATTACTGGAAATCGACCTTGACACAGAACGCCACTTACATTGACTGTTCAGCTCCGTTATTAGCTGTCGAGTTCAATTGGTTCAATCCGCTGTGTTTTCAGTGATGTTCCGGTTATCTTCTGTCGTTGTTTTTTGTCCCGGATGTGTTTGTTTTAGAGCCTCCACTTGTAATGTGCTCATCTAGGGGTATGTGTTGTTTACATTGCTTTCAGACGAACAGTGAGTTGAAACGACACAGCATGAACGAATATTGAGTTCTTTGCTTTTATTCGTTGAATCGCCAGTTACCGCAAACATACATTCACGCTTCCTCGTGCTCGTCTTGCTTGGCTGAATCTAGCGACCTGGTCGGACTTCCCACACACTACAGGACTTTATCAGCGTCTCTCGAACCATCCATCTATACTTCACGAACTCTGATATCTGACATTACGACGTATGGAAAAAACATTCAGTCCTCCTATGGAAATATAACGTTCACTTCACAAATCATTTATTCTCCTCAGGCGTCCATTCATGCGTCCTCTCTCAGTCAGGGCCGAACTTCAACTGTCTTACTTCAGTCTCTCGGTTCACGTCTTCCGTTCACATCTCATGCTTTTCTTGTGTCTCTCACTTCGTTCACCATGAGACACACGAGACTCACTTCTCCCGTTTTTCTCTTCTCTCACGGGTCCTCCGACCTTTTTCTCTCCATCGGGAACTCTCTGGGGTTTCCCCGGGAATTCACAACATTACACTAAACAAAATGAAAAAGTTAGTTGCGGTTATTTTGTAGGGCGTGACGATGTCATGGTTTTACTACTAAACTATTTGACGCTCAGTAGTTTGCCATTGCTTACAGGCTGTCGGCTTAACATACCATTGTAAAAAAAAAAAATGCGAGGCGATCTGCTACCACATCGCAATAAAAAAAAAAAGCAAAAAAAGTAAAGATCCCTTTTCACGTCTAAGGCGCATCGGGTATATGGGAAGAGCGTCCCATATTTTTACAGACCAATCGGCACTGAATGGGTAATGTGGTCAGCATTACGCCGACATCGCAGTAAGCTGGAATCAAATCGGGACATTTCCGAACTACAAAGCGAGTTTACAAAGCTTTAGTTGCAGACTCCGGCCTAAGCAAAATAAAGAGCTGTAAATAATATAATTTGAAGACCAGGTTATTTATTTTTACACCAAATGTTTTTTTTTTAACTGTGTGTAATTGACAGGAGGAAAACTACTTAAGGCATGGAAAGAATGTCAAATGCATTCGAAAACAAATGCAGGACATAATTGATGGATTTTAAACGGGATGAATTCAAGAAAAGCGAAGAACAAAGAACATATGTCCAGGTAGACTTGCTGAGATAATGTTCAGGCAGACCAGCAGGGATAATGTCCAGGCAGACCCGCAGAGATAATGTCCAGGCAGACCCACAGAGATAATGTCCAGACAGACCTGCAGAGATAATGTCCAGGCAGACCTGCAGAGATAATGTCCAGACAGACCTGCAGAGATAATGTCCAGGCAGACCTGCAGAGATAATGTCCAGGCAGACCCGCAGAGATAATGTCCAGACAGACTTGCAGAGATAATGTCCAGACAGACCTGCAGAGATAATGTCCAGGCAGACCAGCAGAGATAATGTCCAGGCAGACCAGCAGAGATAATGTCCAGGCAGACCTGCAGAGATAATGTCCAGGCAGACCCGCAGAGATAATGTCCAGGCAGACCTGCAGATATAATGGCTAGACAGACCTGCAGATAAAATGTCCAGGCAGACCCGCAGAGATAATGTCCAGACAGACCCGCAGAGATAATGTCCAGACAGACCTGCAGAGATAATGTCCAGACAGACCCACAGAGATAATGTAAGACAGACCCGCAGAGATAATGTCCAGGCAAACCTGCAGAGATAATGTCCAGACAGACCTACAGAGATAATGTCCAGACAGACCTGTAGAGATAATGTCCAGACAGACCCACAGAGATAATGTACAGACAGACCCGCAGAGATAATGTCGAGGCAGACCTGCAGAGATAATGTATAGGCAGACCCACAGAGATAATGTATAGGCAGACCCACAGAGATAATGTCCAGACAGACCAGCAGAGATAATGTCTAGGCAGACCTGCATAGATAATCTCGAGGCAGACATGCATAGATAATCTCGAGGCAGACATGCATAGATAATCTCGAGGCAGACCCGCATAGATAATGTCCAGACAGACCCGCAAGAGATAATGTCCAGACAGACCTGCAGAGATAATGTCCAGACAGACCCGCAGAGATTATGTCCAGACAGACCTGCAAACACTTTGTGTCACTAACTGGACAGAGAAGGCCAACTGCAGAGGTGGAGTCAGGTGATATCTGCAGCAATGAACCTCAAGGCCTGGGAATGCTGCTGCTGCTGCTGCTACTGCTGCTGCTGAAGAAAAAGAAGAAGAAGAAGAAGAAGAAGAACAACAACAACAACAACATCAACAACAACAACAACAACAGCAACAAGGAGAAAGAGAAGAAGAAGATGTAATACTAACGGAATCACTTAGTCATTAAACTACAATGTGGGTTTTCTAAAAAAAAAAAAAAAAACTTTTTCAGGTTCGAAAATGATGTATCCAAACGTTCTTTCTATATATTTGGCCCTCACAATGGTTGCGGCACGGATTATGCACTGACATTTATCATCGAAAGAGACAAAGACGCATGTGCAGAGATCTGGCAAGTACAGTCCGTCCCAGTGCCTGTCTTCATCTACTCATTGAAGGATTCGTATGTTACAGTCAAGAGAAAGGGTAATGAATGTTCATTGTTTTTCTCATGAAATTTCCTGTCTGACAGGTATCAGTGTATGGCTGGCATTTAGGTTTTATTCTCAGCCCAGAACTCAAGTACAAAGTCTAAGGTCATCATACGTCTCAACCACTTCCATACTGTCTGTCTGAAAAAGATACTGAACATTAAGTGGCAAGAGATGGTCCCAGACACTGTCGTACTGCATCAATACCATCCTGATGCAGTCACAGATTCGATGAGCCGGTCTTATTGTTCGAATGCCTGACCATCGTCTCCCAAAACTAATTTTCTTTGGTGAGATACATAAAGGTCGACGCTCTCATGGTGGCCAGAAAAAGCGCTTCAAGGACATACTAAAGGGATCATTGAAAGCTTTCAGTTTAAACCCTGACACCTGGAACGCTACATCACAGGACCGGACTTTATGGTGCACATATATCTGAAATGGTGCAACGATCTGCAAGGTACCTAGAACAAGGGCAGCTGAACCGCGAAGATAGGCCAGACAGAACCGACAAATAGGCCCTTTGTCTACAGACACTGTGCCCAGCCCTCATTGTCCTAGACTCTTCCCGGGCACATATTGGACTTGTAAGTCCCCTTCAGACCTACAAACATTCGAACTGCAGTTTCAAGACAGATGAAAGAAAGAGTGGTCCTCATAACTTGTGAACAAACTTGTGTGTGTGTGTTTGTGTGTGTGTTTGTCTGAGTGAGTGAGAGAGAGAGATTGTGTGTGTGTGTGTGTCCCGTGTCTTCCCGTCGGTTCTAAAAAAGAAAACATCTCTAATTGTCCCATTTTGTGAAAGCTAAGAATTAGCTCACACTTAGAAGACACACTTACATAGTCCGTTCTAGAAGTCCTCCCAAAATTCAAACATCCGTAACTCAGTAACCATTCCGAGCAGATTGTTGAAATATGGTCATGCAGCCTCCTAATAATCATGTCGTTGCAAGAATTTAAAAAAAGAAATGTAAACACACGTTTAATTCTCCTTTTGCCTTACTTGCGATGCCAGACAAAAAAAAAAAAAAACACACCGATTAAAAACAAACAATCAGCATGCCTACAGTAACTTGAGTAAATTTAGTATGGGGAACTTTTCAAAACATCAAACTGTACGCGTGGCATAAACGTTTCACTCTCGGATGGTCATCTCTAGAGTAAATCTCCCGTGAGCTGCTAATTTTTTATTGAGTGGGGAATTGGCTTTGAAAATAACCACCCCGGTTTGTTGCAAATGTGAACAGATTTCAAGAAAATCTTAACAAGTGTATATTCTATTTTTAAGAGGTATAGAAATTATTAGTCAAACAAACATCAAAGAAATTCGTCGTTTTAAATCAGCAACAGCACCTGCGCAATAGTAAATTATAGAACCATATGGACATGGGGCGTCTATGGCCACATGCAAACATTCATGTTGATTCGTACAGGAGTTTACAAGAAAATTGTTAAAGAGACTGCGTGGTTTTAGAAACGCATTATAGTTATATCTGTAGACTTTTTTCAGATTTCATAGTTTTTAGACACTTTTATTGCCTGAAATGTGTTGATGGGAATTTTCTTTGTAGCATGTTTTTTTTTTTTTTTTAATGTGCAATGAAAGAGCAAATTGTTTCATTTATTTATTGGTCAGAATGGATTGGGTTTCACTACCATTGTCTAACAAGTGGTTTTTCACAGTTCATGTACAGGGCCTCGTATTTTATCCCCCAATAATATACGATACGTCCCGTTTTCACCGGGAAAGTCCCGCTTTTTTAGGTGTGTCCCAGAAATCCCATCGCCAACCCGTTCAGGGTGGTTACCTAGAAACTAAAATTAACTTGCTTGGGATGCCCGTTTTGAGCTCTAAATATTAGATGTCACATTTTCGGCTCAGGATATTATGGTCTCCTAACCATTTCCCAAAGGATTACCTTGCGAAGATCTCATTTCATCATCCATGCTCATAACCCACCAGCGTGAAAGACCCATATTGGAATATATCACCGGAAGGCATTCAGGTTGTAACCAGGTTATCATCTAACATAGCATACACCAATTGTCTGAAAGTGAGCGTTGGTTAGTAATGCTTTCTCTACAGTTTCCCGTATTCTATTAGACCCCCCCCCCCCCACCCCCTCCCCTTCCCCAAAAAGGATATAATCAAACAAAACTAAAAAAAATATGTCAGTGGCAGTGATGAAACGTCGCAAGCTAGCTTGGTTCGGGCTCGTGGTTAGACATAATTCGATTGCAAAGACTTAGTTCAAGGAACAGTAGGGGGTAGTCGAAGAAGAGGAGGGCAAAGAAGATCTAGAATGACAATTTTAAGAAATAGTCAGGACTTAGTTATCATACACTTGTTTACAAAGCTGAAGGCATAGAAAAATGACGACTTCTGTGTGCTAGTGCTTTTATCGATACACCTCCCTGACTCTTAAGTAAAAGTAAAGGGAAGATCCCTTTTCACGCCTTTAGGCGTATCGGGTATATGGGAAGAGCGCCCATACTTTTACAGACCATAGGCACTAGATGCCTGACCCTAAGTTTTTAGGTGTAATATCATAATCAGACGGCATCAGTATTTGAACTCATAGTTGACTACTGTATAACGAGACCTAGTACGTGTAGGTTTGATTGTCAGATATTGGTCAGACATGACTGAGCTATCATACAACAGTAGCCGGTACCACCTGTCTTCTGTTACGCCGAATGTTGGGCGGCGTATACCAAACCTAACATCCCATATTGTGCCAACGGCTTCGGGCAAAAGAGGGCATCGGGGAGGATACTAGCCTTATTCTAGGAAGAGAAAATGCAACCTGAAAACTTCATGTTATGGCAGGGGAAACCAGGCCCATAGTCTTGGCTGGCAGCTGATCTAGGAGGGAAGCTCTGACAGGCGTACAGCTCAACTGGCAGCTTCTGCAGCCTACTTTAATTCAAACGTACTGGTTTTACCTTTCCTTTGGAGTAAACAAGGCAGGTCGAGTGAGGGATCATGATGCATGGGCAACATATGGTCTCTACAATACTTTGCGCTATGGACCCTGGAGAATGGAGGATGACAGAGTCCTAAAGGACATATTTTATGGTGAATTAAAGGCGGGTAGAAAATGTCGAGGCTGACGTCTACTACGGTATAAAGAAGTGTGCAAGCGGGACATGAATGATATAGGCATTGAGGTGGACTCATGGGAAGAAAATGCCAAGGACCGTGTTGTGTGGAAAGGGCATACCAGGAGGGGAATGAGAGTGAAGAAAGAAATGATTGCAGAAAGGGTGAGAGCTGAGCGTCACAGAAAAAACGGATTAAACAGAAATGTTGACAACAATGGTCCTGAAATCCCATTCTATCATTGTGGAAGACTTTTATTGACACGGACTGTGAGTCTTATGCCCCCTCATAGAGCAATATAAGACTATCGTCTGGAAAGACAGAAAGGTGCCAATCAATCAATCAACACGTTTAGGAATGCCGTAAGTGCAGCGATGACATATTTTGTTTTTGATCTGATTAGTCAGTTTACGTATGAGCTGGAGTATGTAATAGTTTTTACCTGCGTATAGTCAACTTATCGAGACCGACTACTTCCATCAACGACAAACTGCATTCTGGAGGCGACTGTTGGCTCTGGCGCCTCTAGCAACTCTCTAATGCATTGACTGTCTGCGCCTATTTCTGGATTGTGCTGGAACTAATTGTTTGTTCAGCAGATTTTTAAATGGGACAGTGAGGGACGTTTCAGTTGATTTTCACTGGCACAGAAACGGAGCAAATACGACGTGACCCGATTGTAGCGAAGTTCAAACCTCGACTAAGACTAACATCTGATAATGTTAATTCGCTGACAGTTATTTCATTGTCAGTATACTGCTGCAGAATTCAAGAAGTAGAAGATGAATATCCAAGTCAATCAGCAATGGTAAAGTAACTACTATTCTTTTTCCAAGATGAAAGGAGCCATTCAAATAAGTGTTTTTATGTTGTTGCTGAAGATACATTGAACAGTTTGACAATAAAAATGTGTTTTCCACGGTATTTACAGAATATATTTTTCTTCTTCTTCTTTTCCCACCCCTCACCCCCCCCCCCCCCCCCCCCCCCATTTGTCAACAGATATCGGCTTGGCAGACGCTGCGGCGGTGTTCGTTAAGTTTGGGGATATATTTGCTGACGTCTGAAGTTACTTCTCACCTGTGATAACTCAAAATAGAGTTTGGACATGGCCCAGGCAATAATTCTGCTATTAACACTTTTTAATGAAACTTTATTAGACATTGTTATTAGTTTGGCTTAGCTTAACATCTTTTGATAATAAAACATGCTACGGATTTAAGAACAGGTCAAATTTAATATAAAAGAGATGATGACATGGTTAGTAAAGCCTTTCTTATGGTAAATGTTTTGGGAAGTATATATATGTGCCATCAGTTTCAATCTAGCGATTCCCAGTGTAGGCTCCAAGTATTGTACTTTTTCGAGAGAAAAAGAGTATATTCACAGCGTCTTCCAAGCAGGTTATATTAGACGACTAATTAAGCTTTTGAGGAAATCGAATGTGTTTGACCGAAAGGTGTAGATATCCCAGCCTAAATGTAAACTACAACTAAGATTACAAATTTCTTTTAAAGGACAAGCATAGAAAAAGAAGTAAGTGCACTCTTTTTATGTCTTTAGTAGAATAGCCATAGAGTGCTGGACTGATATTTTATAGAGCAATCGACGCTCAGTAGGTTATGTGGCCAAATTTTAACTGACCGCTTTTACTTCCCACTAGAAGACTAAGAAGTAAAGAAATTCAACGAAATTTAAAGTACATAATGTAGGTAATGTGTGTAAAACATGGATGCAAATTTAAACAAACTTACCTACATTGTCTCATAGCTGAGTTAAAGACCGACGCCCATGGAAAGCCACAAAGTTTTATTCTGTGTAGATCAACACACTGTATTTGTTTGTCTTTAAAGCTATATGAGTCATTTTATGTGTTTGCCATTATAACAGCTGTCGACACTGTCTCTGTTTGACGTCATAGCAATAGTAGTCACTTTATGTGTTTGCCATCATAGAAAAAGTAGACACTATACATTTGCCATCGTAGCACTAGCAGACATCGTTTTTGTCGTCAGTAAAAGTTTAACACTAAGCTTGAATGACACTGGTAGTTTTGACCAGTCAGCTACAGGGCCAACCAAAATCGCACAAAAAGGCACTAGAGATTTATCTTGGAAACGGCAGGCAAGGAAAGGAACTGTTTCTGACATGATGTAATCAGGGAGCCGTGGTAGCCCAGTAGTTAGACGCATGCCTACAGGCCACAAGTCTCGGGTTCGGCAAGTGGCTCTGAAAGACTAATTTACCATTACTAACTGGTCGACCTAGCCTAAACTCGGGCATTAACGTATCTTTATTTTTTGTTTTAATCTAGGAAAAAAAGGTACGGGTACTCACCCCAAAGTGTATACACATTAAAAAGGTGTCGGTATTCACCACACAGTATCTATGATAGTACTGCTGAAAGTCTGGAGCCTAAAATAAAGCTGCTGGTACTGATATTGACCTTGTCGTTCATTGATTCGCTTCATAAATATGTCCCGCTTCATTGAGCTTGAAAGGGGTCCTTTACTTACTTGTTTAGTCACCTGGCCCATGAGTGATCAAAAAACCCGTGAAGAAGGATTGTAAGTCTCAGGAGAACGTTTAGTCCCTACATCTCTGATGAAATAACAAGGATTATAAAGACTAGTTCAATTGATAAACTTTAGAAGATAAATTATATAAGTCATCAATTGCAGTATTTAAGCAGAAGAAGAAGAAGAAGTAGTAGTATTAATAGTAGTAGTAGTATTATTATTATTATTATTATTATTATTATTATTATTATTATTATTATTATTATTATTATTATTAGTAGTAGTAGTAGTAGTAGTAGTAGTAGTAGTAGTAGATTCATTGAATAGACTGGTAGTAGTAGTTTACAAAAACATTATATCTTTCTCAAGCCATCTGGGTGATAGCTGGGATACATAAACTATTTATGTTTCAATATTGGATATTTGTGTATCAACAACTATGATTAGACATCACATTAGGAAATATTTTTACTCACGCAACCAATCCTAATCTTTGTTCCGTATACCCATTTTGTTCTTATAATTGAATAGCACTCATACCCCATGGTTTGGATTAAATTCATTTATCTTAGAAAGTTATTGGTTAAACTATGGGTCATGTTATTGTGCGAACACATCATATTCCACACAGTTTACAGAACGTCACTCTCGTCGCAGCCCGCCTGAAAGATCCTCGGTCCCTCGACAGCTCTCTCGTGCACGTTTCTACCCACAGTAGTTGAAAATCTACCCAAAGTATTTCAGGATCCTCGCCAGTGGTGCAGAGCCTGGGTACTGTGCTGAGCTTCTTCGGACTCAGACTTGACTTAGAAGAAGAATGGAGCACTTATGGGTTACTACCCTTGTGCCATGATGTTGATCGGTTGTTCACACCTCAAATCTCAATCTACCCAAAGTGTCAAATATATCCTGTGTCGGTTATCATGCTGGCTGGCCCCTGCCTCTCTTTCGTGGTATTTATTATGCACTCCGCTACTAAACTTTCCAATCCGCTGTGACTCTTGATATAGCCACAATATATCGGTTTCTAAGACACGATTTTCTTAACTAACTAATCTTCCTTCATGTTCAGATCTGTTAGGATGTCGGTATTTCCTTTCTTCAAAATCCCCAATTTTTTCCCCCTTGATGAATGTGAGACACTTCACTTGCTTAATTAATCCCCCACTCACAAGCGTTGTTAAAAGTATTCAGTCTGGAAAAGGAATGATGTTAATTCAATATACTCCACTTGTTAAGACTATCATCTCACAAAATGTTACAGTATCTCAGATATTCCACTTTCTTAAATTCTTTAATCTCAGAATTACTTCACCTCTATATTTTTATTTTTCTTCATCATCAGCATTCCGAGCCCTTGATGTTCCCCGCTGCAGATATCATCAGCCTCCATTCAACTCTCTTTTTTTGACCTTTTCTTTCCATTTGGAACACCATGTTATTTTCCTGTCGTCCTCTTGGTTTGCTTCGTGGTCTACGACCATTCAAATTCTTTGTGTACCGTTTTTACCTCTCTGTCGTCTCACGTTCTCCCAGCATGCTCCATCCATTGCAGTTTACTAGCCCTCATGATATCAGTGATCAATGATGATTTTAACAGATTATGAATTTCCTTGTTACTTCTCCCTCTTCTCCATTCTCCGCTGTTTATGTACCTGATGGAATCTAAGATTCGTCGTAAGACTGTTTTCAAAAACTTGTGAAAAGGCGTCACCTCTTGTAAATGTGCAGCAAGTTTCAGAGCCACATAAAACAACTGTTCAACTCACTGTATTCCACTATTTTAGATGAATGTGTTTTTTTTTTTTATCGCTCAGAAGGTAATTAGTTTAACTGTCTTTTGATCCTGATATTTATTTGTGTCATAAAACTACATAAGACACAAAAGTTAGAAACAGTAATTAACAAGATTAAAAAAAAAAAAAAAACGTTTTGAAGAAGCATCATATTGTTTAATCATGTACCCGAATTTATACAAATTAAAAACTGAAATTTTCAAAATAATTAATACTCACACAGAGTAAAGAAACCACAAAATAAAAAAATAAAATAAATAAAATAAAAAAATAAATGAAAATCAGTTTGTAAGTAAAATAGGATTGGTTGTTGGTTGTTACAGCATATCGTTTTGAACGGCAACATTATTGTGTTAAATATCACAAGTTTATGTACGACAATCCAGTGGAGGATATGTTTAATGACTTTCAGGCACTGGCAACAGAATCAAGACATTGTGAAATTATATCTTATTTTCCGTCTCAGAGAAGTGGGTTAGAACTGTTTTAATTCACTATATATAGACATGACAGACTTTCAGCAAGACCCTTAAAGTAAGACTAAAGACCAGTAAAACTAAATTAATGAAAAATAAACATGAAACAAAAAATCTAATTATCTTAAATGATGAATTAATAGATGCAGTTGAAAAATGCGTACGCCTGAGAAATAAAGCTTTACACACACACACACACACACACACACACACACACACATCCACACACACACACCCACACCCACTCCCACACCCACAAAACCATACCTCCACACACACACATTAGGAAACATTAGGAATAAACAAAGCAAACCAACTATTCGCCATGCTTAACAATATATCTTCTTCATCTTCTGCTACTTCGTTTACAGACTGGACTATAAGCTTCGGAGGAGGGTCCTGATTGTTCGTACAATTGGATTTTGGCTCAAAAATACATCCAGAAAGCTCAGAGTTTTATATTATATGTGGCACTTTACTTCTCTATGGAATGACTTTATCAACTTACTTCTTGTTTGGTCATATTTGATTTCTTTTTTTTTATAGTTCAGAGTTCTCTATGGGATGACTTTATCAACTTACTTCTCTGTATGGTCATATTTTATTACTTTTCTGTAGTTCAGAATTCTCTATGGGATGACGTTATCACCTTACTTCTCTGTTTGGTCATATTTTATTACTTTTCTGTAGTTCAGAATTCTCTGTGGGATGACTTTATCAACTTACTTCTCTGTATGGTCATATTTTATTACTTTTCTGTAGTTCAGAATTCTATATGGGATGACTTTATCAACTTACTTCTCTGTTTGGTCATATTTTATTACTTTTCTTAGTTCATAATTCTCTATGGGATGACTTTATCACCTTACTTCTCTGTTTTGTCATATTTTATTACTTTTCTGTAGTTCACATTTCAAACTTCTCTTTGCTGATGACTAGGCCTTAATAGAAAATGCTACAGTAAGATTGCAACACATTCTTACATTTGTAAATAAGGAAGGACAATCAAATTACATGGGAATCAAAACAGCAAAAAAAAAAAAATTGGTTTGGAAGTAAACAAAAGCAGACTTGATTCTGATCGCACATCACCTATTAGGTTCTGATAGCCTATATAATTACATGGCCCTATGTGGTACATTTTATTTTGTTAGGTCTAGAATTTTGAACAGTATTTCCTTGAGAAAAGCTACTATTTTCAGTCCAAGATAGATAAAACGATTTCTTTTACACATTAAAATGTGATCACGGCTGCCATTTGTAGTGTAAAGTGAAA